TATAGTTAATTCAATTGTTCAATTTTTAAATTATCATCAAATATCTAAACTACTTCATTTATTTTAATTTAAATTATTTCAATATGCTCATTCTAGATATGATAAATATCTCCTTTAACCCCAAATATTTAATAATCTAACAATTAATAAGCTTTTTTATAATCAAAAACCAGACTTTAAAGTTTAATCAATTATTCATAGCTGTTTGGTTTAAACAATATTGTTGTGAATTCTCTGTCAACTGATTTATCATCAATTTATTTTTTAATATCTAAATGGTAAATAAAATAAATTTATTTATAAATCATTATATAAAAATAAATTTAATTTACTTTATTGGTATACATGAAATATAGCAGGGAAGCAAGGAATAAGAGAACTAAGGCTTATCTAAGAAATATTTTATTTTGGTATTGATTCAGATAAGATTTATGAATAAAATTGGCATGAAATGGTAGATATTTAAAAATTTTATTTCTTATCAACTAAAATGTACATTTTATTGTCATTTATCTAACTAATTTATGCACAAATACCAAAATTATAGTTTTCTAATTAGCATGGTTGAAGTTTTATATCATATGGTATAGCCCAGTAATCTTTATCAATTCCGATAACAGGATAAAGATGGGCAGTTTTGTTGATTTTATTTCTTTTATTTAGAAAACTTTACAAAATTTAATCATGACATTTAGATATTACACTAGGTTAGAGAAAGTTAATATTTTTACCAATGGCTTGCTTATTATTTAATATTTTTACTATTTTTTCAAAGTTATTGGAAACTTTAACAATTTGGCCAATATTCTCAGAAAGACTCATAAAAACGAACCCCTTTGTTTCATCTACTGCATAAGTTTATTTCATTTAATTATGCGTCTATATATTACTTTATTTAACTCTTTTGTATTACTTGCTTAAGTCATTACCTATTAACAAATAATTTTCATAAATCTCAATTAAAAATTCTAATTGCTGACTATAAATTTTTTTTTAAATCATGTGAATAATATTTTAACAAATATCTTTTCTTTGTTTGTAAATCTTTAAGAGGTTTTTATTCATAGCCTTGATATCAATAAAGTCATTGCTTATAGAAAGCAAAGTTTATTTTTTTTGTTGCAAAAAACATTTAATCTGGTTAAAACATTAATTGATTATTTCATCAAATTCTATCATTTCTATAAACTCTAGTTACTATTCTTCTGTATTTCTAGAATTAAATAAAACACTTTTTTGAATATCTTTAGCCTTTTATATCAGCATTTTTATTTGTTTCATATATAATATTTAGCTATCACAAGTATTCAAAATTTAATTTGCCTTAACAAAAAATTTGTTGAAATTACCCTAAACATCTAATAAAAATGATAAATAAGATGAATGAAGGAAACTCATCTTTTTGCATTTAGAAAGCTCAAATTCAAAGTATCTTTCCATATAGTCATAAAGGATGTTACTTCTCAAGGTTTTATCTTTTTCA